GTATAGTCAAATTATATAGCTTAACATTCTTAGTAGTTATTTGTCAGAAACTTTGTAATTGCACAAAGTCTTAAATTCCCTACCATACCTTTGTTAGCTATGATTCACCACAAGTATTTTCTTTCTATTGTTTCTATTACATAGTATATGTGTAATTACTATTCTAAGTTATATCTCTCACTCTTTGGTAATCAGATTTCATAACAGTCCTCACATACGGAGTGAGATAAACCCATTACAATTTGCCAGTCATATGTGAATATCAGTTCAATTATTGAATACTAGTCTGATTTCTGTTTTAGAATCAGAAGGTTCATGTCCAGGATACGTGGCAGTATTTATAAATGGTCATGTGTTTCGCCTTGATATTATTGATGAAGATGATGAACCTATCACTCAACCGGAACTGTATAAGTATGTTAACTTAATCATTACATATACTATGTCCCGGTACCCAATCTTTGTACCAGCATCTAGACATATTACTGTTGTGAACCACACATGTACATTATACATTTGAAACTCATCTAGCCATTTTGTTGTCTGGCAATTTCAATTTCTCAGATGTTATGACGTCAGAAACCAATAACAATGCAATCATTTCTTGGATATGAATTAATTGACGTCATTTAATATTATTAGAACACTATATAACAATATAGATTGATTTGTTTTGTGAGCAAATTTCTTTTTTTCTGACGAGAAGCTCGGAAGATATGATGATTTGCAATTGTATGTTTGATACAGGCAGCTGTTATCCATAAAGTCTACTTGTGACAGTTTACCACCAGGTCCTGGTATTGGAGCATTAACAGCTTGGGATAGAACATCTTGGGCCAAGGTAAATCTTGTGATATTGCTGATAGACATGCATATGTTTTCTCTGCATGTTTTATTGATTTTCAAACTGAGATTTAGATTTATATAATGTATACAACTTGCTGTACAGTGTGCATTTCATTAATTTCCTGAAATTGCGCTAATTGTTCTATTGGTGATCCACTCCGCTAGGATTGCCATAATACCGTAAAATCTGTATTAGAAGCCGCATCCCTTATAAAAGCCACACCCATTCTTTTTGAATAATTGAGACCCAAAAATTCATCATTTCTCATATGTGTAGA